AGACGTTGCTTCACGAAGCTTCCCTCCACAAGATCTCCTCAGTCACATCAGTGTCTGAATGGTTTCTTTCTTACAGTCTTTATTGTTGCTGTTTCATCTCTGCGTATTCCTTTCACAATTATTTGAGCTTGTATGGAAGCCAGCAGAAGAAATAAGCCTTCAATCGGCATCAAAGTGCTTCCAATCTTTTGGTCCTCCGGCCAACGGCAATAAAAGTAACGCCAAAAAATCCAGATTTTGCCCAAATCGAAACTTAACAGGAACAATATGTCATTGATCTGTAATCCTGAGAAGTTTTAGTGTCGTATTGAACCCTGCCAAGCGCGATGCAAACGGATTTTTCAAGATTCTCTTACTCTCCTCGCATCTTTTGATTTCGGGACATCCTGTCCAAAAATCAAAGTTTGGTGCATGCGCAGTAACGGGATACTGTTTTGCTCCCCAGAAAAAGCCACAATGAAAAATTATTTAAATTTATAGTTTAAATTCAATCAAATTTATTTAAATAGCTGCACTTCCCTCATTTGCGGGAAATAAATGGATATTGATTCTGAGGTGTCACCGGTTTGATAATTTTTGCAAAACTCCTCTACACCGCCACAAGTTTTCCGAGTGATGCACTGTTTCGGAGTGATTTTTATTTCATCAGGTTCTTTTCTTTAGTTGTGTTCGTCTGATCAGCTTTATTATTTCTGTAGTGTCTGCTAAAATGATCCGTTGAAAGATATGTCGAATAAAGCTTCATAGGAGGTCACGAAAGGAGATTCGCATTTCACCTCAAGCATGGTTTCAAGCTGTCAACGGTCTAGCCGAAATATTGTTTTAAAAAACAATACAAGTTGTTTTAAATCAGCTTTGCTGTAGTCTTCGGACTTCTCGTTCTTGTATGCTTGGCTGAATTTAAACAATGACTTCTTGGTCAGATGGGGGACAAATGTTCCCCCATATGGTGAATATATGAAGGAAAATACAGAAGGAAGAAAATGAGGAGAATAATACAAACATTTTAAGACCTACACTTACAAATGATCAGTAACTGAAAGAATTTACAGAAAAGTAAATGATAAACGGAATTATACAAACATCAGAAGATATCTTTGTCTAGGAGGCTGCCAGAAACCACAAGTCCCCAGTCGATCGATTTGAATAAAAATATGGAGTCAGTAATATAAAAGGGACTTAATGGTTTTGATTGGTTAGCAAAGTAAGCATTTTTTCCGAGAAGGCAAAAGAGACACAGATTTAGTGATTTCAATAGCCAAAAAGTGTACCAGAGGACCTTGAAAAACGATGGCAAACGGCTTAATAACTGTGCTACGGATTTGAAGCGCGGGTTCTGGTTTGGTACCCAAGTAAATCGTGTGTATATATCAATCACCACAAAAACAGAACAGGAACTTTTGAAAGTGAAAACATTTATTTGAACATAAACATGAACAGGCAGCAAGTCATCTTGAGGTAAAATATAAGAGAAATTTTAACAACGCGACTTTTTCGGGCCTTCTGTGATGACTGATGGTATGATCGGCTAGTCGCCGGTACAACTTGCCTACCCGTACTGCATTGGTTAAAAAACATATTATTCGACTAGTATGATGCGGATAAGTGTTCAGTAGTGTTTCTCTTTATAATTAGGCATAGCTTATTGAGCATTTCTGAGTAAAACGCGAGAAGGAGGCACCAGGTTTTTGCATTTTGCCGTTTTCTGTGAGCGCAAGATGCTTAACGACTTAACAACTCTTGTAGCCCTTGCAATCCAACCCAAAGAAACGTCTTGTAAGCGCTTATCCCAGTTAATGTTATCTGTTGTTGTCGCGGTTGTTGTTGTTGTGTTGTTTTTGCAGTTTTTGTGAAGATTTTTTCTGCTATTGAAGCTCCGAGGATTTTTCAGTCATTTTGCAAACTGCAAGTGAGCGGTGTAACTGACAACTGTAACCTCTTTGTCATAGTTTTCATCTTACCTCAGTATCGATCAGTACTATAAAAAGAATTGCACATTGCGGTTGACAATCAGTTATAATTAACAAAGGCCAAACTCGAGACCTGAGAAGTTATCCTGTAGCTTAGGGCCTACATGAAAATTGCCTTTTGCTGTTCATAAATTAGCCTGTTAAAATGATTATTAGCTGATTTATTTATTTATTATTTATTTCACGTCAAAGAAATGTAAAGAAAAAAGAATCATCGAAACGGTGGCTTTCAGACAACTAAAACAAAGGTAAAGAAACCTTTTGTTTTTAAAACTTAGGTCATCCCTTTTTTTTTTTCGTTTGGCGTCGAATGCGTTTCCTGATGTTGGGTCGGTCGGTCGGATTGAAAAAAAAATCACAAGAAGTCTCGGAATAGGAGGCCCTGGTACCTCAGGACGACGTTAAAAGTTAACATTCACATATTTGGATTAACAAAATACACAATATACTGTAAAAAATGTTCCTGTTTTTCTATATGCTGTTAAGTACTATGCTTATTTTTCAGATTAAAAGAATTATTTCAAGTGAAACGTCGTTACTTTTTTTTTTAAAATGCCAAAAATCTGGGTCGGTCGGACGACGTTAAACGGAGAAAAAAAGAGGATGGCCATAGTTCTCATGTCCTAAATAAAGCAACAAGCACCCTTTTATATTAAAAATGCGATTATATAGCAGTTTTGCTAGCACTAGCTGCTAAGTAATCAGTGGTGAAAGACCTCAAGTGAACTAGATGCCACTGAGGGAGGTTCATCTGTATAATTCACTGTCTGAAAAATGTATTCTCAGATATTTTTAAAATTCATTAGAGACACATATCAACCATTTACCCTTGTCCGCAAAATAGCCTAGCTAATCGAGGCGTGAGGAAAAGTAAAAATAAAATTGCAATAACAGTGTTGAAACATAGCAATAAAGAAAACAGATACACGAACATCAACATATTGATTTTTCTTCCTTTCAACATATTGAATTAACAGGACAGTGAGTATACATATATTTCAAAATAGGTAAATAAAACAATGTATGAATCAAATTAAACTGAAAATTTAATATTTACTAAATATGTCAATTAAAGTACGCACGCCAACAGAAGTATCCTCCTGTATCAAAATATCCAGTAGCCGACTCTGTAGCAATACAAGTAGTTTTCGGCAACATAAAGCCCAGAGCGTACGTACCATTGCACCACTTGGTTTCAGACGGTATTTAAGATGGCAACCATCTACTTGCCACCATCCACCTTGTTCTTAACGATTGCCTCCGATGGGATAAATATGAATTCAGGGGCGGATCCAGGAGGGGGGGCGGTGGATTGGGTGGCCAGCCACCCCTCTTTATACGTGGAAAAACAAACGGAAATACGTGGGTCGCACAAAAACCTTGTGAAGCCAACCAGTCTTCGTCCTTCCTATATCGCCATGTTTTGGGACAAACGTAGGACAACTTAAAATAAATTAACGTATAGTTTGATGGCCGATTGGTATCATCCACTCCCCATTAAAAAATACTGGATCCACTACTGGAATTGTACAGAAAGAAAATCATCACTCTTACAAGCTTAATTAAGTAAAGCTAACTATTACCAAAGGTTCTTTGATCTTAACACAAATAACGTGCGCCAAACTTGGAGAGGAATTAACCTGGAAAATAAACGAAAATTTGTCGACTCTTTTCTACCCAATCAGAATGAGGTTTCGACAAGTCATCCGAAAGAGATCACAACGTTAACCATGATATTCAGTTAACTAAATTTGAAAATTGTGGTATTAAAAGAGTAATCAACTCCTTCGGATCATATACAACTGACCGAAAACAAACTACGCAAGTCAGTGACGACGTGCCTGAGACCCTATGTGGTGTGCCGCAAGGCTCAGTCCTCGGGCCACTCTTATTCGTACATTATTGTTTTTTTTAGAGTCCTCTTCACTATTTGCCTTTTGTCTACTTTCTGACGATACCAGTCTAATATTTACTAATAACAATCTGAAGAAACTCTGTTAATCGTGAGTTTGCCAGCTTAAACGAATGGCTAATCAAAAACTGTCTAATTTTGTAATCTTTCTCCCTCACAAAAAGAAAATGCCCTCTGTTCCTAGGATCAAAATTCTTGACCTCGCGTCAAACGGCTACGCAATTCTTGAAATCTTGGTGTAATTATTGGTTCAAATCTTTCATGGAAATATCACAAGGAATCCATTTTTTACAAAATCAACAAGTCGATAAGAATTATCGCTACGATTCGACGCACAGGTCGACACTATGTCCCGCGTTGTATTTTTCTTGCAATTAATACACAATTCATTGATGTTTCCTTTTTTAACTTATGATATCTGTGGATGAGGAAATTTTCCCCCGACGTTTCAGAGAAAGATCCTAATTCTACAAAAAAGGGCCCAACGTCTCAATTTGTCTAGGGAGCACGTCGTACCTTTGTTTATTAAATCGAATTGTCTTCTCCTACTTAGCCTATTTTTATATAGTCTGATCCACAACTACAGAACTAGATCTATCTTGACCGTATCCTTCAAGTTAAGTTCCCTAGGACGCATAAAATGCCTTCCTCTTTCACGGAAAGTGGTACTCAAATTTGGAACTCTATTCCTTACTAAAAAAAATGCCCAGCAATCGGATTTTCGGAAAAATATAAAGGATTCCTTCTGGATTAGCTTGCAGTCGGAGGACGATTATGTTGAAACCCCCTATCAAGTTGTTTTCTACATTATCCTAAGTTAATTCTCCTTCATCTTAGTGTCTTTTCTAAATCCTACCCTATTTATAAACTTTTTATCTCATTTTACTTTATATATTGTCTTTATTGTATTGTAAGTGTTGACATAATTTTTGGTCCATTCTTACCGAATCATGTAAGGTAAATAAGTAAATATGTCTTTCTCTCCTCCCGCCTCGATTAGTTCCTTAGCTATTTGCGGGTAGAAAATTATATTAAATGATTAGGCCTTCAGTTTGGATAAAAATCGTTGTTTTTGTTTTATATCTCGTTTCTTTATTCTACTCATATGACCGCTGAAGATGATTGTCTCTGATGAAGAAAAGAGATGGATTGTCGTGGGAATTGCCTTGAACAAGGTTGCTGCTCCTGTTTTGCGGGATGCTGTCACAAAGGGGATGGACAACAACTATGCGGATCTGGATAGACATTGCAAACATTCAACCCCACCAAGTACCCTAGGAACCTTAAACTATGGTAACGTCCGAGCAGATCCGGCCATCTTTAGGAACTTGAAATTTCAAAATATCAACAACAACAATGTTGTGCATGGTTTATGCAACTACAACTTCAACATTAATAGCGCCGTAGACTTGGCCAAGTTGTATGTGCCAGGTTATCTGGCTCAGTTCTCAGCCTTTGACGAGTCGCTAGACATGACAGCCATCCTCCGCCTGTTGGGATTTAAGATGTACATGCCTTCAGCTGTGTTCTCCCTACATACCCAGGCGTCCGCTGATGATGTCAGGGAAAATGTCAGAAATAAATGGGGCCATGTTGATTTAACCGAGTGGACAGATGCCCTGTTCAATGATTGCTTTGCCAAGCTAGAGACATTACTAAAGAGTTTAGGACTGACAACTGCAGTGGAGAAGAAAGCATTGGAACAACTTGCTGACTGGAAGTCAAAAGGTAACGAGTTCTTGCCGCAATGACGTATAAAAATGTAAAATGTCAAAACCTGAAAAACAAAAATAGGTGAAAAAATTGCAAATCGTTTTTCTTGCAGTTACGTTTGCTATTGTTAGTTTTGGTTTATTAAGAAGAGATAAGTAGTGATATGGGGTCCTCAACAGGTCCAAGCGAAGTCCGAGTTAAGCGGGGGTCTTGCAAATAGGTTCAAACATGCTTAAGCTAAGGAAGGTTGAATGCAGGACTCACTGGTGAATCATTTAATTTATGGTTGGACTGTTTAGCAATAGATACTTATAGGGATAGAGAGAGAAGAGAACAGATTGTTTAATTTGAAGTAACAGTTCATTCAGTGAAAAATATGAGAATACACTGTGGGTCCAAACGGGGCCCTCTAAGCGTTCGAAGTTGGCTTAGGGTAAGTTCCAGAAAAAAAGGTCCACCCAGGTTCTTTGCTTACAAGCTTCAAAGGTTATTTAACTTTTTGACTGTACTTAACGAACAACAAACAAAATCTGTTCTCTTGTTTCGTACGTACAGGCTGTCAGTTAATCGTGGAAAATTCCGTCCTAAAAGATATTCTGCATTTGGTACAAGATGAAGTGAGGGATCTCATCAAGGACTACAAAACTATGGAGTCACAACTGAATTTACAAACCAAGCAGGTCTCTAAGGTTTCAAATGATGTTTCCATTCTGCAAGAATATTCAGAAAATAGAGGTAAAGAGATTAAAAACGTTTTGAAAGAACTTCAGTCTCTCAAAGCACAGTTATTTATACGACTTCAAGAGGTAGAAGAAGGTCTCGCTGATACAAATGACAGAGTAGAACAACTGGAGCAAAATCAAGACCTGTTACATGAAAGATGTGACAAAGCTGATGATAAGGTGGACCAAATAGAAGATGAACTAACAAAACTGAAAGAAGGGACTAGTAAACCTGGTAATTCAAGTTAGAATTGATATTCTTGTTATTTCTTAAGAATACACAATTCTTGCCCTCGTTTCGGATACTTTTCGTATAAATCCTGGCTACTAATTTATCCCTGAAAAGAAATAAAAAGTACGTGAATGTCTACTTTTATCCGAAAATAACTTGAATTGACGCGCTCTAATTTCTGGAGAATTACTCTTGCCTAATTATTAAAGAATTATTCTAATCACCAGTTCGAAAAATATAACTTTTCCTTCACGCTTAGAGAACAAAACTGTTTTGAAGTATTGATTTCTCCGGAGTGATGTGAATAATGTGTATTATTTTTCATTCAAAGTACCTTGCCGTTTCTGATTGGCTCCACTCCCCTGGCTAATTCTTCATAACAAACCGGCGTTGACTAACTTTGGAAGACACGAGCAATATAACATCGATTCGTTGGTAAACTTAATTGGAAACGAGGTTGATCGGTGTTATATTGGCCCGGAAACAAGGTTGCTTTGGCTTAATACCATGATGCGAAGAATTATGCAGGTCTCGGAGGCTGTTATCCGCCTCGATCTGCATAATTTTTCACATCCTACTCAGCTTCATTAAGTAATTGCTGAATGTGATACCAAAAGCAAATTAAATGTCAATTCCAGTTTCCGAGTTTCTTGAAGCGATTGTATTTTCAAATCCCTTTCAAAACAAAGTAAAAAAATATGCTGAAAAGCGCTCGGGATCCCTGTGTGTTGCATTCAAATCTGCGGCACGATTGTGTACGCACAGGCAAACCAGTCACTAGGTGAGCCGTTGGAATTGATTTTAATTTTGTATTGAAGGGAATGTAACTTTACCTGACACTCGTGATGCAAGCTAAAGCCGTGAGTGTCATCTACGTGACACAACTAAAGGATCCTTTGATTTATTACGAGGTCAATGGACACTTTTTTTCATAACTTGGTAATAAGTGCTCTGCGTTTTCCTGTTTCAATAATTACAAATGATTTTCTAGATTTTTCTTGGGACGACTGTAATACCCAGGAGACATTGGAAACAACGGTTACGGTATGTAAAATTTGGGGGGGTAAACAAGGTGCATCAAGATTCCGGTGAAAATGATCAATACACTTCAACGGGCGAACTTCAATCTCGCTCAGTTTTAAAAAATGTGATAAATAAAAATTTATTTATAAAGTTATTGAAAAATAACTTATGATTTTGTTATCTCTTAATTTGCAGATGCCAATGAGGGCTATAAGCCCGTAATCATCAACAACACCGGTAACGTTGCTGTTGGATCCTCTTCAAAGATCGTGATCATAGGTCAGTATCTGAGCTCCTGTCAGCATCAAATGCTTGTACATTTGTCATAAAGATAGCCAAATTAACTTCTTCTTTCGTTATCCCTGTGTAGCAGATGCCGTTTTAGTTCGCTCATAATTTTTCATCTCTTTTCAACAATTTTATGCTGCTATCTTTTAGGCAATAACGTTAACTCAGCACAACCACCATGTTTGGGCGGAAAGGGGCTTCGAGATGGAGAGAACATGTCAGGAACTCGCTTCTCCAGTAAAGGTGAAGGAGAAAATCGTGTGTGGCAACTGCGAACTAGTAAACAAGAAATCATTTATAAATAATTCGTCTATGAGCTGCGTTGATAATATTTTGGGGTTAGGGTTACTCCGGATTTTTGCGTAGGAATTTCATTAACTTGCGTAGGAATACATTAACGCCAATGACGTCATAACTTTTTGTCTTTATCTCATAAATAAAACGCGCAGGAATCTCACACCACTTTTTTGGGCAGGAATTTCATTAACTTGGGCAGGAATAAATTAACGCCGATGACGTCATAACTTTTTGTCTCTATCTCATGAGTAAAATGCGCAGAATCTCATTAAGATAAGGTCGTGTGCTATGTTTAGTTGGTTTAGGTTTTCTAGTTACTTTAAGGTCGATAACCGTCTTCGTTTTCGATTGGTTAGTTGGAAAATAAACGTTTTCATTGATTAATTTATAGTGTCTGAGGAGTAAAGTCAAACTTGTCTGTGACTTAAAATCATGAGACGTAACTTAATTATCCAAGTCCCATTTCCTGCTGCTGTGATTGTCTTAGTTCCGGTTCACTGATTCTTGGCGGGCAAATCGAGCATATTAATTAGGGCAAATGCAAACTAGCTCTTTTTAACACGAAAGACAATGCTTTACCTACCCATCTCCCTTTTCATTTTTATTTTCCTCCTCCTCCACAATTTTGTTAATTTCCCTCCTCAATTTGTTTATTCCCTCTCCACAATATTAATCTTTCCCCACCTCATCCTCATTCTTTTAAAGGGAACCTCCACTTCAACAAAAAGATAACTTTAAATCACAGGAAATAACTGTTACAGTCAAGTCAGTCTAAAATATTTTTAAAGAAAGCGTTTGTATCCGAAAGAAATAACTTTTAGATTCGCCTATTTTTGTTTTCAAATTTTGCGGGCGTCGCCATCTTGAATAATTGTGACGTGTAATGGTTGCCCTATTGTTATTAAACAAAAGCTCTTTGTGTCAGAACAATAGAGCAACCGTAACACGTCACAATTATTCAAGATGGCGGCTCCCGCGAAATTTGAAAGTGAAAATAAGCGATTTTAAAATTCACTTTTCCTGATGTAAACACTTTTTTAAAAACAAATTTCGAACAAATTTGTTTATCAACATAATTTTATTCGATTTAAACTTATTCTGTAGTAAGAGTGGAGGTTCCCTTTAATGTACTCCTGCGCAAGTTAATGAAATTCCTGCGCAAAAATCCGGAGTAACCGGTGCGCCCTATACTACTCATTAGGTTTCCAATTGCATACTCAAACTTAAAAGTCATGAAGAAAAACAAAGGAAATACCTACTGTGAATAAAGAACTTCAAAATTCAATTCTAATGACCATAACATATAGCAAATGTTTACCCTGCATGTTCTATAGCATCAACGATTTGACAGTCGGTTTCGATACCCAGATAGCTAGAGGTTGGTTATAAAAAGTTACTTCTTAGTGTCTCGAGTAACTGTCTATGTTCTGAACTAACACAGCAATTTCATAACTTCATCGTCCGTTGCATTCTTATTTTTAGCTGCTAACACTACTCAAAACTGCACAACAGGGCCTCCTCCTCCTCCTCTGCCTCGGAAAAAAAAAATGCCTCAAGGCGATGAGGAAGATCTCCATCAGAAGCAAATGCAATACAACCAACAGCCCGAGAGAAGAAATAGCCTTGTTAGTGATGGTAAGCGAGTAACAGGAATTAAAACACATGAAATTTTTTACAAAAGGCATTGTGTAAGTCGAGTTACAACATTTTTTGTACAGGCTTGCATTTCCTCGCTGGATAGCGGCTCGGCCGCCAAAATGTTCCCGGAATTCGCACAAGTAAGCCTGCATCAAGTGGTAGTTTGATTTTTGATGAATATTGTTATGCAATGCACGAGGTAAAAAATATCACCTATTCAGATTTCGTATAGCTGATTTTGCCATAGCCTGCATGGCAGTTTATCCCTTTCTCCCAATCCCTTCCCCCTTTCGACACAGTGATTTTATAACTCCAAAAATGGAGTAAAAATTTTAGGTACAGGATAACCCCCTTTTTGGGGTAACTTAAACTCCTAATTTAACTCCAAATTTGGGGTCATTTTTACTCCTGAGAAAGAGTTCTTTTTACTCCCAGTCTGGAGTTAAAATAACTCCGAAAATGGGGTTATTTTTACTCCTTACATGTGTTGTTTTACTCTTTTGGGGGTTACTTTAACTCTGAAAGTGGAGTAAAAATTTTAGGTACAGGATACCTCCTTTTTTGGGGTTATTTCAACTCCTCATTATCTGGGGTCATTTTTACTCCTGAAAAAAGTTTTTTAAACTCCTTTTTGGAGTGAAAATAACTCCTCAAAAATAAGTCCACTGGAAGGAGTTAAATCAACCCCACTAGAGGAGTTATTATAACTCCTTGAAAAGTACTGTGTACGCAGGCTAATTTACTTAAAAATAAGAATATTGTAATTTCATATATTGCATAAAATTTTAACTTACTTTTTTTCCAAGATTCCAGCGACGAAAGATCTGACTCCGAGATAACGGACGGTAAGTAGGTATTTGATCAGTTGCAAAGAGAGCCGGAATTATCAATTTTCCAAATTTATCGTAATTTATTTTGTATGTTTCGTTAGGTGACGTATATTTGAAAAGAAAAAAAATAACGCCAATAAAATCACTTTTATAAACCGAAAGGGAAATAGGGAAAGTAGGGAAAATAGATCCGGTGGTGGAGATGGTCTGTATGTTTCTAGCAATTTGAATTTTAAATTTCGATGCGATCTTGATTTTTCGTTGCCAAACGTCGCGGAATCTTTGTTTATTGAAATTGTAAAGCCCGAGGGAAAGAACATTGTTACTGGTGCGAATTACAAACCAAAACGTTGATGAATTTTTAACAATGACCAATGAGCTATTAAGTAAGATTTCAAAAGAAAATAAGGTTTGTTATTTAATGGGTGACTTTAACTTAAATTTATTGAACCACCAAAGTCATTCCGTTACTGGTGAATTTTTAGATGCGCTATATTCAAATATGTTCTTTCCATTGATTGAGTGCCCTACAAGAATAACTTGTCATTCGACAACTTTAATTGACAACTTTTTCGTTAACCAATTTTTCGATAGATCTAGGAGTGGACTGATTTTTACTGACATTTCTGACCATCTGCCTATATTTTCTATTCATTTCGACGCCTCAATCACAGCATCTAATGAAACTGTTTTTGTTCGAGTTGTAAATCAAGTCAACACAACTAAGTTTCTATCGCATTTGGAGAGAATTGACTGGTCTCAGTATACCACTCTTGATGATCCAAATAATGCCTATAACAGCTTTTTCAAACAATACTCTACGGCATATGACCCATGTTTTCCTTTAAAAAAAACTAAGGTGAGCAATTACCGTTTGAGTAAGCCTTGGTTATCGAAAGGACTTCTGAAGTCGATAAGAACGAAAAATAAGTTATATAGTC